CTTAAAAAAAAAAAAAAAGGTGGGGGACTGGGATGTAGATCCCCAGTACTGTCAAAAAAAAAAAAAAAAAAAAAAAGGAAAGAAAATGACAAACTTTTCTGAAGTGAATATGTTCTCTATTTACTTTAAACTTGTTTTCTCTTCTGTTTTTTCTTCTTCTGGTGCTGCAGATTAAATCCAGGGCCTCGTGCATGCTAGGCAAGAACTCTACCGCTAGGCCACCCCGCCATCTTGGTTTTTATCTCTATTGGTGGATCTGTTCCCTTGTCATTGACCACATACAAAGACCCTTAATTTACTATTTATTTCAATGGAAAATTCAAATTATGGAACATTTGTAAAAAGTTTTGTTGTTTAAGCACTTCTAGTATCATCTATCACTTAAAGGATTGAGGCAGGAGTGCCCATCCTGTAGCGTGACCAACTGTCCCAGTCTGCCTGACATTCTCTTGGCTTAAGCACTGCAAGTCTCATGACCTGGAAACCCTCCGTGCTGGAACCAAACTGGGTCACGTGCTGAAGCATCAGGCTCTGTGCTGGGCATCGTCCATCTGTCCACCCCTCATGCATGGACCAATGTCAAGGGTAAATTTGTGTGTGTCTACTCTATGTATAAGGAAACAGCCTCACAGAGGGTAAGTTGTTGCCTAGGCCCAGGGTAGGCAAAGCCAAACTTGAGCACTGGGTCTCCCAGACCCCAGACCCTAAGTGCCCATTTATAGGTCCTGGAACTGGTGAGAAAGGCACTGGCCCAGTGGCTGGACTTGAGGTCCAGCGGGCCTGGGTGGGGCTTTGCTGCCCCCTGGTGGCAGTTGGGACAGCACCCTGGGTCTGAGTCCCGTGAGTGCTCCAGCCTGAAGGATAGATGCTCCCATCCCACACAGGAGAACCTCAAATCTGGCCTCTGCCCAAGGAGGGCACATGTAGACAGCCCCACCAGGGTCTTAGCCCATCCATCTGTGACTCGCATAATTACTCAGGTCCTCAGACACCCAGCACCAGACCCTATCTTTGAGTCTACGTGACATTCCCCCTTCCCTGGGCCTCAGTTCCTTCTCTGTATAATGGGGGCGATGAAAATGTCAAAGTAGACCAGACTTAGATATGGAGGTTGTTGTTATCAACTCCTTAACTCTCTGCTGCCTCCGTGCATTGATTCACTGCACTCATTCTTGTAGCTTCCACGCAGCAGCTATGGTCACGTGCCAGCTGGGGGTGCCTGGGGGACATCTGCCAAGCAGACAGACACTGCCTCTTCCCTGCTGGCTCTGCCACACTCCGCTACTCCAGTATCTCAAGTTTTCACTTGCGCATTGAGTGTCCATTCATTTAATGAACATTCATTCATCCTTTTCCACACTCAACTTCCTTATTCATTCATTCATTTTCATCAATCAGTCGCTCATCTCAGGGACACATTCACTGAGTCTTCATTTGCTTTGCCAGTCCTCTGTTCCTCAAGCATCCCAGAAGCACCCCCTGTGTACCAGGCCAGACCAGTTAGATGCTGGGGTCCTGCTCAGGTCTGGGAAGGACACTGTGGTAACCACCACACCAGCCGTCAGGCCTCAACAGGGGAGCACTGAGAAAGGAGCAAATACTGTCTGAAGGTGGGGTGGAGGGTGTCCTAAAAAGGCTTCATGGAGGAGAGAGCATTTTTTTTACTTTTTTGCATTTGGTGGGGAAGATTAACTCAGGGCCTTTCTACTGAGCTACATCCCCAGCCCTTTTCTCACTTACTTATTTTGAAACAGGGTCTTGCTAAGTCAGTAAATTGCACAGGGTGGGCTCAAACTTGTAATCCTTCTGCCTCAGCCTCGCAGACTGCTGGGATGACAGGCATGTGCTACTGTACCCAGTGAGGAAATAACATTTAAGACAAGTTAAGGTGCTCGCTTCGGCAGCACATATACTAAAACTGGAATGATACAGAGAAGATTAGCATGGCCCCTGCGCAAGGATGACACGCAAATTCGTGAAGTGTTCCGTATTTTTAAACACTGGAAATATCACTTTTGATGAGATTGTCAACGTTGCCCGACAGATGCAGCACTGGTCTTTAGCCAGAGAACTTTCTGGAACCATCAAAGAAATCCTGGGGACCACCCAGTCTGTGGGCTGCAATGTGGACAGTCAGCACCCTCATGACATTATAGATGACATCAACATCGATGTTGTGGAATATCCAGCTAGCTAAGAAACATAAAATATTTCAATAAAAAGATGATCTGACAATAACAACAAAAAGGGCAAGTTAAGAAGGTTGTATGGGCTGTAATCCCAGCCCTCGAGAGGCTGAGGCAGCAGGATCACTGTGAGTTCGAGGCCCGCCTGGGCTACAAAGTGAGTTCAAGGCCAGCCTGAGCTGCATAGTGAAAGGGCAAAAAAAAAAGAAGGTTGTATGGGAGTCAAGCACAGTGGCAGTGCTTATAATCCCAGCTTCTTAGGAAGCTGAGGCAGAAGGATTACAAGTTCTAGAACAGCCTGGGCCACTTAGCGAGATCCTGTCTGTTATGGTTTGTGTCTCAGTGTCCCCTCAAAGCCTCTTGCACTCATGCGGGCTGGCTTCTTGAGTTTGTGATTGATTCATGGTCCAATGCTGGGATTATGGGTGTGAGTGCTACACCTGCCCTGGGGCAGGCAGGTAGCCTACACACAATACACGAGCGGGAAAGAGGCTTGCTTGCTGTTCCTCCCTTTTTGCTCTTGCTGCTTTTGCTGTTTTCCGCCACCTTGAATTGTTGCCCCTGCCATGTGCCACTCTCCCTTGGAACTAGGTGAGTATGGACTGAAACCTCCAAAAAACCGTGAGCTAAATAAACCTTTCCTTCCTTAATTCTGGGCATCAGGTATTTTGTCTCAACAATGAGAGAAAAGTAACCAAAATACTGTCTCAAAATAAAAAATAAAAAGGACTAGGGATGTAGCTCAGCAGTAGAGTGTTTGCCTAGCATGCACAAGGCCCGGGGTATGATTCCAAGTACCACCACCACCAAAAAAAAAGGAGAGAAGGAGATTGTGTGGAAGTTCTCCAAGGAGCTTAAGGCAAAGTCTTTGTTTTGTGCAGTGTTTGGAGAAAAGTGAGGTGCCAATTGGTAGGTGTGTGATGGATGGTGAGTTTGTGTGTGGGACCCTATCCAGTTCAATCCTTCCCCATGTTCCAGTGACAGACCTGGGCTAGGCAAGAGCTTCCCCAAATTTCCCTCACCCTTGGAAAGCCCCCCACTACCACACATCCAGGAATAAAACTGACATAGCACTGTCTAGATGCCCTCCCTTTGCCCATCTGTCCATCTGTCTGGGGACCCAGTAGAGAACCATCCTGGGCTAGGCAGGGTGCAGTGGCAGGGTTCCCGCCCCCAGGTGTCATGTTCATCAGTAAATGTTTGTTGAGAACTTCACTAAGGGCCAGGCCTTGCCCCAAAGAATGCAGCAGAGCAGTGAACAGACCAATCATCTACTCTCAGGGAGGAAAGGAACCAATGACAAAACAAGAAAACCAACAGCTAGCCTAGCACGCCTATAATCCCAGAACTCTGGTAGGCTGAGGCAGGAGGATCACAGGTTTGAGCTCAGCCTGAGTAATTTACCAGTATCCTGTCTCAAAAAAAAAAAAAAAAAAAAAAAAAAGGAAGGAAGGAAGGAAGGAAGGAAGGAAGAAAAAGAAAGAAAGAAAGAAAAGAGAAAAAATTTAAATGTCTGGAGATGTAGCTCAGTATAAAGGCCCTGGGCTCAATTCCCAAGGGGGTAAAAACCAGCTGTGAAGACCACCAAGAACACAATTGTAATTGAACAAACTGTGTTTATGACTCGTTGCAGGAAGGAAGACTGCTCTTCTTTCAGTGAGAGGGTGTTGAAAGGGTTTATTACAGGATTTGGGTTTTGTGTAAAGTGATTTGAGGAGGATTCAAACAAATATGCTTTTGCTGTGGATTAGATGCTGTCAGGAAGTGAAGACAAGTCTATGATTAGATAGTTTAATAAATATTTGTATTAGAGTCTCCAGAGAAACAAGCAATAGGATGTATCTTATTATAAAGAATTTTATCACAAAGAATTAGATCAACAAGTGCTAAGCACTGCAGGTAAGGCAGGAAGCTGGAGACCCACACGAGCCAACAGTGCAGTTCCTGTCGGAAGGAATGAGTTGGAAGGCTTGCAACCCAGCACAGCCGTGTTTCAGCCCCAGTTTGAAGTCCAGGCGAAAAGTTGATGCTGCATCCCCTGTTTCAGAAGCCGTCAGGCAGGAACTCTGTCTTACTTGGAGGAAGGATGGGTTTTCGGCTTTATTTAGGTCTTCAACTAATTAGATGAGGTTCACCACCTTACAGGAAAAAAATCTACTAGGTCTACCAGTTTAAGTAGGAATATCAGCCAGCAGCGGTGGTGCACTCCGGTAAATTCTGTACTCTGCAAGGTTGAGGCAGAAGGATAGCAAGTTCGAGTCCAGCCTGGGTAACTTAGCCACTTAATGTGACCTGTCTCAAAAAATAACTGAACTGGGTGTGAAAGCCCTGGGTACAACCCACCCCCCAAAGGAAGGTTCATTCACTTCGCAGAGATATATTTGCAGGGGGCCAGGTGATTTCAAGGTGACAAAGAAGAGCTGGCCCCAGTCTTCAGAGAGCTTGGTGTCACGTTTGCGCTCTGGTACTCAAATAGGGGGAAGCGGGTGCAAGCACTGGCCAGCACCAGCCCAGAGGCGAGAGAAGCAGGGAGCAAGGAGCAGTGCTGAGCACAGCGACACCCACGGGAACCGGAAAGGTCAGCTGGGGACAGGCCACTCAGGCATGAAGCGCCACCTCTCCCCCAGTGATGTGCGTGTCAGGCCGCACTGACTTGTTGAGAAATAGGAAGCGAAATCAAGCAGTTTGATCTAAGTAAACACGGTGAACTTCGAGCTCATGAATATTCAGCGATCTCGTTCCTGCACGCTACTCCGCCCCAGCCCTTCCTGGGTCTCAGTGCGCATGCGTTCCAGGCGCGTCTCTGACGTCACACGCGAGCGCCGCCGTAGTCGCTCGCTCGGGGAAACAGCAAATCTCCCATGGCGAGTACGGTCCCTGCTGCGGTGCGACCTCCAAGACCAAAGAAAGAGCCACAGGCGCTCGTCATCCCCAAAAATGCGGCGGAGGAGCAGAAGCTCAAGCTGGAGCGGCTCATGAAGAATCCGGTAAGACGGGGCTCCACCGCCCGGCTGAAGCCACTCCTGCTTGCGCGCCGCTGAGGGCCCGCGAAGCGCCTTCCGCGCCGCCGGACTCTGGAACTCCGTGCCCTTCCCACGGGGCAGTCCTTCGGGGACTCGGGGTGTCCGGGGGCGGTGAGCTTCCCGACCGGCCTTATGTTGGAGGCCAGCTTGCGTGAAGGTGCTGTGGCGCGCTCTGAGGCCCTTTCTAGGTTAATTTCCTGTTAGGCGGAAAATATAGAATCTGTAGCTCAGCAAAAGGACCTGTTTTTTCTAAACAGCTCCCATGGCCGAGACACTGGGGACACGTCACTTCTCGCCTCCCTCTTCCCCCGTCCAGGCCTCAGTCGTTTAAGTCATAAAAACTGTTGGGTAAGACGGTCTTTTATATCTTTGATTAGGAAAAGTCGGCTCTTGTCTTGAAGAGTTAAAGCTGGACGTTTCTAGCCATAATTGATGGCTTAGATTTCCGAGTTCTGTTCTGGGAAGTGCAGCCCTCAGAAGTCTGTGGGCTGTTTTACACCCAAGCATACAGGGTGAGCTAAAGAAGCTAAGATAGGGCAGAAGACAGAGTGACCGCTGGTTTCATCGATAGTCTTTAATTGTAAAGATGTAACTTTGTCAGCAGATTTTTTTTTAACTTGCAAATGCTTTCCTGTTTAAATATTACAGGACAAAGCTGTGCCAATTCCAGAAAAAATGAATGAATGGGCACCTCGACCTCCGCCAGAATTTGTCCGAGATGTTATGGGTAATGTGTTTTGTCTGTGTGTTTGTGTAAATATAATTTTTAAGGATATAGGTCTTGTGGTTATTTGATAGGGAAGATACTCTCTATTCCAATACTTTATTCTTACAATGAAGGGGTATGGTTGCTTGTTTTACCATTAGAAAACTGTTCTGCATTTTTTTTTTTTTTAAGACAGCATCATGCTGTGTAGTTGAGGCTGTTCTCAGACTCACTTTGTGGTCCAAGTTGGTCTCAAACTCATCATGATCCTCCTGCCTCAGCTTTCAGCGTGCTGGGCTTATAGGCATATGATCTTCTACATTAATCTTAATGATGTATTATATTGAACTAGGTGTCACGGAGCACACCTGTAATCCCAGCACTCTGGGAGATGTAGCAGGAGGATAGAAAGTTGAAGCCCAGACTGCACAATTTGACAACCTACTGAGACTCAAAAAATGACCAGGAGCTAGATGTAGTGGTGCGCTCCTCTAATCCCAGCACTCAGAAGGCCAAGGCAGGAGGATTGCTTTGAGTTCATGGCCAGCGGGGGGCTACATAGTGAGTTCAAGGTCATTGTAAACATGGTGAGACCCTGTCTCAAAACAAAACAAAGCAACACACAGTTAAGAAAACTGTGTTTTTGCCGGGGATGTATCTCAGTGGCACAAGTGCCTGCCTGGCAAGCACAAGGTCCTGAGTTCGATTTCCAGTACCAAAAAAAAAAAAAGAAAAATGTTTTTTAAAGGTAGATGTAGGGCTGGGGATTTAGCTCAGCGGCAGAGCGTCTGCCTGGCAAGCACAAGGTCGTGAGTTCGATTCCTGGTACCAGAAGAAAAACAAAAAAATAAAAATAAAGGTAGATGTAATGGCACATACCTATAATCTCAATACTCAGGAAGCTGAGGCAGGAAGATTGCTGCAAGTTCAAGGCCAGCCTAAACTGCATAGTGAGACCCTCTATCAAAAAACATTTTTATAGGGCCGGAGATATAGCTCAGCGGCGCAAGCGCCTGCCTGGCAAGCACAAGGTCCTGAGTTCTATTCCCGGTACCAAAAAAAAAAAATGTTTTTATAAAAATACAGTTGTTTTACACATAGGGCTATTTTTGTAGCTCACGTCTTTTCACTTAATGCATCATAGACATTTTTCAACTTGGAAGATGTCTAACATGTCAAATATAAAATGGAGAGGGAGGCCACAGCTTGCTTGTAAATCTCTGGTCTTTGAATCACAGTCTGTTCCTTCTTTTAATACTGTTAAAATGGAATTTTTAGTGACTCTATAGTCATTACTCGTGCAACAAGGTATTTAATGATGCCTACAGTATGCTGGGCACTCTGCTTGCTTTGAGTACAAGTGGACAAAAAGCAGGCATCCCTTCCATGATCACGATCCCTTCGGGTTTGTGTGAGTTTGTTCGTGTCCCTGTTTGTTAAGGGTAGCCTATGTTGGTAACTGGATTTCATCTAGAATTGTGAACTGTTCTGCCTGTAGGTTCAAGTGCTGGGGCTGGCAGTGGGGAGTTCCACGTGTACAGACACCTGCGCAGGAGGGAATACCAGCGGCAGGACTACATGGATGCCATGGCGGAGAAGGTCAGTGTGTGGGAAGACTGAAGAGCTTGCACTTGGGCAGTGTACAATCACAACTTTAGAAAAAAATACATTGCTTTAAAGAAGATGTTTGAAGGGGAGTACAGCTGTGGCGGAGGTCTGCCTCCTGTATCCACACAGCTCAGGCTCAGCATACCAAGGTGCTCGCAGTAGGAAAGCAGTGAGGGGCAGGAGTCTTCCGTGTGTGTAGAAGGGCAGTACGCAGTCCCCTCTGCCTTGCAGACCACCTGGATCTGTCATGAACTACAAGGGCAAGGAGGGTCCCATGCCACTGTAGGTGTGACTTCCCCCTTCTTCTCTCTTAGGCTGCATGCTTAAATGCAGTTAGCTGTGTGTTTGGTATGAGCAGTGGCGTGCTTTGACTGTGTCTGCTTCTTTGAGGATTTGGGTTTTCTAGCTTTGGGAGTGGCATTTTTTTCATGACGGTGTCAAATAATTGACTATTTTACAAGCTTGAGAACTGCCTAAGAAAGTGTACTTTAGGGGGTTGGGGATTTAGCTCAGCGGCACAGCGCCTGCCTGGCAAGCGCAAGGTTATGAGTTCTATTCCTGGTACCAGTAAAAACACAACAACAACAAAAAAAGAAAGTGTACTTTAGCCAGTTGTGGTGGGACACACCTGTAATCCCAGGACTCAGGAGGCTAAGGCAGGAGGATTACTTCAGGTCCAAAGCCAGCCTGGATTAAGGAGCAAGACCCTGTCTCAAAAAAAAAAAAAAAAAAAAAAAAAGAACAAATGAATGAATTTGTACTTTAAGAACCATTAAGGGAGATGGGAGGGAAGGGAATTTAAAAAAGAACCAAGCTATATTACGTACATGTGTATCCATTCCCTAAGATGTTTGTGAACCCATGTATTGGAAACATGTACTAATTTTTTTTGTTTTGTTTTGTTTTGTTTTAAGGAGTAAGAGAAGGATAACAATAATGGGGGGGGCTTACCAAATTACAGACAAAGT